TAATCATTGTTGCTTTTGCGGTATTTCATATCAACAGCTTTTGCGTTGTATGTCAACTGATGCCAGAAAATATTTAAAGTTTCTGAGTTTCGCCAAATTGAGATGTTTGAGTGAATTTGTTGGTCTTCTTCATCTTTTGTACTTTGTGAGTTTTTCACCGTGTGACCATTTGCGGAAAGTGTTTCAAGTCGTTAACATGTAACCCTATCCACAATTGGTCAGTTGTGCGCTATTCAACAAGACTTGATAACATGTTTTTTCTCAAAGGTTCGTTAAATATTCTTCTAATTCCTTGTACGTTRTTGTGAAATACAGGTTTTCTGCTTATTATGCTCGCGGTTTCGAAATATTTCGCTTATAACCGTTAATTTATAGTGTTATCCACCAACGCGTGCATATATTTACAGTGATTTCCTTAATTGAGAATGTCTTCTAAGCTATACTCGTCATCGATTTTAAGTCCGCCAAATGATGCTTTCAAAGTGGGCGAGTTCGAAAGGCGCTTAGGTAAGTTCACTTTCATTGAATGACAGCACAAAATTGTAACGWATGTACACTAAAGCGGGTCGATTGTTCTTTTTTTTATAAAATTGTGTATTGTGAAAATATTCTACGGTTSATTCTGAACAATTASACCTAAGAGAATATGGRCCTATTGTCAMATTTTCTTTATTTTCACTGTCATTTTTAAACATATATTAGAGAACAGTTCTACAATATTACGTGCTCTYAGCTTTTTAATTTAATCAAAGGCCGATTTCGAACAAATGTTTCTATTAAGCAAAACCTATGTATTAAATTTCATTCGGATGTCTCACAAACTCGAACTTTTTGTATTCAGAAAAATTTAACTGCACCTAAAAAATCGCTATCTCAAAGCCAGTTTTAGATACATAATCTCTTAGGCAAAGTTGTTCTGAAAGATCCGTAGAACATTTCMCACATGCGCCATTTTATAGGAATACCCGATCCGCTCTAATGTATATACATATATATATACACAGAACATATATTCCTGTACTGTGTACTATATAGTACAGTAACAATGTATTACGATTGCCGTAAAAACGTGTTCGAATTTAGATATCATTGATACATTTTGTTGCTGGTAATAATATTTGCATATGCTATTAAGTCATAGCTAATTAGATTCCATTTCTTAATCGTGATGAACATATGTAAGTCGAAAAATAAACTTTGATTATATTTAAGTGTTTCTGATGCAATTTTGTATAGATTTGAACATTAAAATTTTTAAGCACTGTCCTGAAATAAGAGCAGTTTTATGTAATTTGAATGCAGCTACTTAAAATATTTGTTTAGTTTTTGCCATTGTCCACATAGCAGTTACTTATATAGTATGGTGATTGCATGACACTTGAATATTTCTGGAAAAAAGTTTATTTTTATACCCTGAACAGAGATATTAAGTTTGTTACGAGGTTTGTAACCACTATGTTATATACCCGTCATTTAAACAGACCCATCAAAATCAAATTATATKATTTTTTTTTTTATTTATGAAGTGTATTATTACATTGGCGAATTCAAAAGGGAAAATAGGGTACGTAGTATTCCTTTCATTTTGCTATATCACAGTGTAAAATGGGCGAAATCTCACAACAACCACGCCCATATAACACAATTTTAAATTCCACTTGATTCCTTCACTTTCCAGTACACAATTAATATAACGGAATAAAACTAACGGAATAAAACTTACCTTCAGTGTATGTGAATTTATGACGAAAAATTGTCCAAATCCAACAAAAACTGTTCAAGCCCCTAGGTACCGAATATTTGACCCCAGTGCCTATAGTTGACTTATGATTGRAATATCGGTCAAAGTGTGGAATATACAATTCAAATTCAGAGAGAATACTTTTCTGACAATTTCTCCTATACTTCCCTTAGTCCTCGTATACTTAAATAAGCATTTTCGATTATAATTAAAAAAATAGTTTTAGGGGACTTTGGACCGCATATATCGGTCAATATGTGAGTTATGTTTGTATCTCAATGAAAATGGGAGAGCGTATTTTACAGTGTATCTTTGTGCCTAAAATAAATTAATTTGAGCTAAAATTTGACTTAGCTCCTATATAACCAATATCATGATTTTCGAACAACTGGCTGGCTGACTTTACTTGAATTTGAATTGAATTTTTTGCATGTGGCAAGTTAATAGTACATATATTGTATTGGGAAAAATGGATAAAATAGKGTCGATACTACTCCAACTTCCATATACTACATATCGTCACCTGAAATGCAAAATAACGTAACAACATTTTCGGAAATTTACAGAGGCATGAATGAAACACGAAATAGAATAAAACATGAGTGAAAAGAAAAATTTAGTATTGGTTAAAACTGGTTTATAACAGAGCTCAGAACCTGAAAATGTTGAACATATGTAATATTATGTACGTAATTTGAAATAGAGAAGCTTAATCAATAACACACTCAATTTCGAATTTTTTGATGATACGTTATTTTACATTTCAGGAGACGATATAGTGATATTCGTTTTTCTATCAAACCTTATGTGTCTGTCAGTGTATGAGTTATATGTATGTATATAGTATATGTATATATAAAATTGATGGAATTTCCATTAAAGTATTTCCTTGACTTTGATGCCTGCAAATTGCAAGAGTATAAACTTAGCCCTTCTTCTTTACTTGTTTATTTAGTATGAAGTTTTGCCAACACCTGAAGGTACACCTGATACCCGGCTTTAATTCTTGCTGGTTGCAAGAGTATGAAATTTTCGGTTACACTTGACCTTAGCCCTTTCTTTTGTATCAAAAATTAAGTTATTTTAAAATATTGTAAATTTAGGTAAACTGTGTGTTTTAATGAGCTTAGAATGCTTCTCTGGTGTCTAGTCCATTGAGAAAATGTATTATACTAGGTTGTTTGAAACATTGCTGATAACATAAAGTGTCTGGAGGAGTTCAAGTCTCGCTCCTGGCCAAGTAACTACTCTTAACGATTTGTTAATATCCGTAAAGACCGGAACGTSCACAAGATTCTGATCGACACTGTAATTCACAAAATCATTTTCGATAGACTTAAAATGAAGTTGTTCTAAATTGCAGATACTTAAAGATCATGTTCGATGTTTGATTAATAGTATTACGGTATCTGTGCAAAGTTTATGTCACTTGAATTGTTTGGAGCTGTTAAGTTATAAAAAATCTGTACCATGCCAATAAATGATTCTATCATGCAGTTATCCGAGAACTTTGGGCTTTTTAGAATATCAGAGCATGGAAAGACGTAAGAGGCAGTTAATAAAATTACGYGGTCTATAATTTGGAACTCGGATTTAATTATTTTCCTCAACTATGTCTCTCGAAAATCGGAAACATTATTAAGAGGAATAAATGCTCTTAGAACGTTAATTCAATGATAACAAATTGCATGAATTGGAAATGATTTCATATCCGTTGTGGTCCGGCAAGTTTTTCTTACACACAGAATCGACGAATTCGAAGCCGAAACAAAAACTGATTTTAAAGTAAAAGACAAATTTTCGATTTATTTAGTATAAATAAAAATTTATGATAAGAGAAACAACTTTCGTTTCATATTTGTCTACTTATAGAATTAAATTTTCAGCAGATACCACAAACATGTAGAAATATGACTAATGGAGCCCCAGTCTACGGTACAAACCATCCATTTCAACCATGCCTTCATTTGGTGTGCCAAAAACCAAAATACATATGTAAATATTTATTGTATTTTAAAAATAAAAATGTGGATATGTAGATACACAAATTTAATAAATGTATACTAAAATTTCGAATAACTTAATATTAAGTTCATTTACTCATGGTTTAATAGAGGATTTTAAGATTGCTATTGCGTATATTGTTTAATATTGATTGTTGTTAGTGTAAGATCCATTGTGTATAATAAAGATATTTTCATGCAAATTATGACAAAATATTGATAATAATCAACGTATTGGATTGAGTTTTCAAACATACATATTTGTATTGCTTGGCCTAAATGTTTTATTTACATTACATACTCCGATGTTTGTAATTTCATTAGGCATACTCTGCAACCAAGAACAATGCTTTTTCAAATGATTATAAGCTCGAAGATCGCAATCGAACTTTCAAWTAGTTAGAAGATGTTCGTCACAAATTCCACTTATGAGATAATTCGCTATGAAATCAGAATGAGCGTAACTTGTTTAACTATATATGTTTGTATGTATATGAATATGAACTAAAAATAAGTTACGAATTAGATATATTTTATATTACGTTACAAAAACTATAGTATAACTGAAATGAACGCAAAAAATCATAAGCGAACCAAAATAAACGACCACTTACACAAGCCACACGAAAAGGTATCTACTGATAACACGCTATCAAAAGAGTAGAGCAAAACAAATAAAGGCGAAAGTGGTCGGCTATACTGACTGTGCGAATAAGCTATGTATTCAGAAATTAATAAAACATAAAACAAATTATGAAAAATCAAATCAGTTAATTTTGTTGAACCTTGCAACTATACTACACTATAACAGAATTTTTTTTATTTAAATATGTGACCTAAAATTCCGAGCGAATATAATTTTTTCCATGAGAACTAAATCTATATGCGGAAAATTGAATAAGGAAAGCTGAAACTTAATAGCTTTCACAATTGCTCGTCCACGCTTTTTTAAKGACGGTTTCTTCATGAAAACTCATATGGTGGAATGTAGCACCCCAAAGATAAACAAATTGCCTCAGTCATCGTTGACAGGTTTGCGCTGAATTTTTGTCGCCACTGCAGTTAATTCTACTCTTTCAGTTAAAAAGTTGAAGCTTTTTATTTAAACGTTTGAATATTTGTTTTTTGTACAGGAAAATATGAGTCACGGCGATTATGATAACCTAAGTGGGAAAAATAATAACAAATCCCTTTATAGAAATATCGAKTTTTTAATTTTATGCGATTTATTAATTATTTTTGACATTTATTTTCAGACGCACTCCTCGCTGATCTGCAGAGCAGCGTGCCCGGCAGTCGTCCACCACAGTACAGTACCTCAAATATTAATTATGGCGATAGCTCAGGTTATGGCAGTTTGCGTGGTAAAGCAGCGCCGCCACCGGTAAGTGTTTGAAAATACTCAATGGTTTTTATTAGAAGGTTAAACACATTTTTAACCCTGGTTATATGGTTTTCAATGCAGGTAGTGCATCAAGAACACTACAGCGTTACCGAAACAAGAACAGCGCCATCACCAACTCGAAGTGTTGGCGGCTACAATGGTTTGGGCAGTAGCATCGGGTCGTCACCCGTGGGGCAGTCATATAATTATCAAAATCAGGGAACACTTGGACGAACAGGCGGCACTTACAATGGTTCTCCCGTGCAACAAAACTCGAAAAATCTATCTGAACTGGACTCGCTTTTGGAAGATTTAAGTAATGCCAGATATAATAGTAATTATGAAAAGAAAGGTAAATAGTTTTACAAAACAATTTGGTATAAATAATACAAAACATTTATCTTAAAGTTGATAGYACCATTAGTAGTAGTAGTGTCAAYGTTTAAACTCGTTTTGCAAGAAAATTGGTAGACTATTTAGTTTATGTTGCTAAGCAGTTATTCTAAACTCTCAATCTATCGAGCTGAACGCGCTGAACGCGCTGAAAACCTCAATAGTTTTCCTACATAAACCGACAAATGTAACATTCACTAACTTTTGTCCATAACCGTATAACATTATTAAAATATAAAGGAGGAGGATCGCATAGGAATGAAGTTATGTTTGATTATCAAGAAGCTCCCGATATACAAATGTATATTGTGTTCGTTAAATTAGTAGACCTATTTTGCATCGAAATATAAAGTGAAATAAAACTATTAACAAAAACAAGATTGTAGTTGTAATAAATGGCATTCTCTACACAATTTTTATACTCTTGTAACCAGTTGCTACAAAGTATTATAGTTTTGTACACCTAACGGTTGTACTTAACACTAAGCGAGGTAGGTATATGGTTATGTATATATAAATGATCAGGGTGATGAGGAAAGTTGGAGTCCAATCGACTGTCTGTCTGTCAGTCCTTCCGTGCGACCGTGCAAACTGTAACTTGGGTAAAAATTGAGATATCCTGATAAAACTTGTTATGTAGGTTCCGTAGTACAAAAAGAATTGGAGTTCGTAGATGGGCGTGGTCGGACAACTGCCACGCCCACAAATCGCAATTAACAGAAAACACATAAAGTGCCATAACTAAGCATTAAATTAATATATAAAGCTGTGATTTGGTACAGAGGATCCCAGTAGCAAGGGGTACCTGTGGATAAAAAAAATTGAAAAAGTGGGCATAGTTCCGCCCACAAATAAGTTTAATGTACGTATGTATCTCCTAAATCACTTAAGCTATAATTGCTTAATTAATTTGCTTAGTGAAAATCGTATAAGAACTTCTAATAATTTTCTACTATTATTCAAAACTATTAAAAGCGCGATAAATCAAAAAGTATATAAGCCAGAGACATTAAATTTTACCACCGAGATGTTATGAGAGAGCTTTACGAGAGCTAGTATGAAAATTTAACGATGGGCGTGGCACCGCCTACTTTTTGGGGAAATCCCATATCTCGGGACCCGAACAACCGGTTTCGACAAAATTCAGTACGTGACGTTCCTCTGACATTTTTTTTTGGCACAATTTTAAACTCAACTTTAATGGTTCAGTTTCCAGTACACAAATCAAGAAACAATTAATATAATGGGATAAAACTGTACATGAATAACGTCTAGTGTGTGCCATCTTATGACCAGAAACTGTTTAAATCTAATGAAATCTGTCAATGTGCGATATATGTGTATACAGTGGAAACTATCTATAGCGAGCTCCTATATAACAAAATTTCTTTATTGCGAAGCAGTTATAAGAACACTGTATTCTGGGTCTACTTTGAGTGAATTATAATCTCCATATAATGAATTTCTCTATAGCGAATATTTCCTTTTAAGAAAGCATATTGCGACCACAACTTCAAGATTGAAGCGTTTTCAATCTCCATATAACGAATTCATTTAAATAATTTTTCGTTATTATTTACATACATCACTGGTAGGCAAAACCGAACGCATGCACACGAAAAAGAAATCGACATCGCTTTGTTAAGTGTTATTGTTGCTTATGTACTTTGTCGCTTTCACAACGCRCAAGCAGAGACTGATGATTTGAATCGTTTATTTATTATACAATTTAAAGTGTATTTTGGGGAACCACCGAACTATGCAAGTGACAACTGGAATCATTACCATCTTCATTTCTTGTAAAATGCAGGCCGCATAAGACATTTCTAAGCAATTTGGAATTCCTTCCGGTAGCTTATCTACGATAGACGAAGATATCCTTTAAATCTCAAGTAAAGAAACAATAATAAAGAAAATCCGTGACTAATAATTTTCTCATGTACATATATGCCGATATTATGAAACCGTTATCAGTTGAAGGTTTCCGCACCTATTTGGAAATGAAAACCAACCTACCAAATAATGTGTTTACTTCTTTAAATTTATTAGAAAATTATATTTTAGAAGAAAATCAGAAAATGTACTTTAAACCAAAAAAACTACCACAAATAAACAATTTTAAAAGGAACAAGATTGATTTTCTTTTCTATATAGAGAAGTARATATCTTGTCTTTTGGAATACGTTGTAGAGAGTTTCGACTGTAACTAAAAATTRAGGGATAATTCTTCTCTTATAATGGTAATCTTATACTTATTTTAAAGATTTTCGAACTTCGGGGTGACTTTGTATCGCATATATCGGCTAATGTGAGAGTTATCCCAATAAATATAAGAGAGCAAGTTGTACTCATAACAATGTATCTTTGTGCCTAAAATAGATAAATTTGAGCGAAAACTTCACTTAGCCCTATGTAACTGATATGAGGATTTTCGAACATCCGGCTGACTTTACTCTATCGCCTAAAATAGATAAATTTGAGCGAAAACTTCACTTAGCCCTATGTAACTGATATGAGGATTTTCGAACATCCGGCTGACTTTACTCTATCACTTAAAGTATATATTGACAGTCTTTAGCTTACAAAAGAATTTGTTTTGGTTACGTAGACCCGGTGGTCATAAAAACGGAGACGTTAAGTATTCATATATTATATGTATATTGGTATTTTGCAAAAAAAAATTTGTAAAAAGGTTTATTTTATGGTTGTTTATTATAATTTGAAAATATAAAGGTTTTGAAATATTAAATATATATAAAAGTTACACTTATTTCCATTTTTTTTTGTAGAAAACATAGTGCCAACGAGTTACAACTCAAACTCTAAGTATAATACCTACAATTCCAGCGATGAGCGGCCAACAATTGATAGCCTCCTTAGTGAAATGGATAACGCCTCAAACTATGCTGTACCTAACGGGTAACTACTTATATAATTTTGTTACGATATATATTTRTATTAATTGTATTATTATATTTCTTTAAATTAGTAACCTTACCAAGTCGCCGACGCCTGGACGACATGTTAGCATTACAGTTCGTGAGACCAAAACTGAGACACTTGCGCCGGAAGGCCCTGGTAAAATAAACCGTCGTAGACAACTCTCAATCATTGTAATATTAACTGTATTTTTTTTTCTTTCAGTTGGCATTGTTGAGAAGGAAATTGTACAGAATGACATTTATTTGCMAAATCAAGCGCCGCCATCGGGTTACGCATCGTCAGCAACTAAAGAGTTGGATGATTTAATGGCATCGCTGTCTGATTTTAAGGTAAGATAAGATATKTATGTATATATAGTGCAGTATAATTTATTTAAATTGGTTAGTATGAGTGAAATGAAAAAAKACCATTTGTTATTTAATATTATTTATTAATTTTTTTGTTTATTGAAATTTTACAAAGTAAAAGATTATTTAAAACAAAATTGTGTTTTCGTTGTTATACTGAATTGCGCACTGCTACCTCACGAAATCTCTGCCTAGAAAATTAGTATATTCGGATTTGGTACGGTTTCTTCAGCCAATACAATGTCTTTATAAATATTTTTAAAGCTCTGTTCATAGTAATAACTTCATCACTTATTGACAAATCACCTTACTTGTCATTTTAATTGATAATAATGTCTTCAGTTTCTCCAGTTCGTCTAAATATCGAGGATTAAAACAAATTTTCTCAAGAATATTTCACTTGAAACTGACTTACAATTATATGAGCAAATTTAAATACAAATTATTCAAAGATTTCAACTATGGTTCAGCCGATAGTCCAAAAACAACAATTTGCAAAAATAATTTTTCAAAAATTTCAAAAAATTATAATAATAATAATAAAAATAAAAACAAAAAATAATAATGAATTTTTTAAGTGATAGTTGAAAACGAATGGATGGTAAATAACACATAATCATCAAAATGTAAACAAAAAATTCATGAGAAAAACAAACAACTAACTTAACATAATGGATACAAATACTTCTTTCTTAACGTTTATAAAATACAAGCTTACGACAACTTTACATCATATTTTTGATGATGAAGTTGTTTTTTCTGGAAAAAGTTTAAATAATTAATTGCAAATAGCTGTAAATTGCTATTTTATCTACTCGTAATATGTTTTGTAGTAGTTTTGCGTTTAAAAATCTTTCAATATGAAATATTCATTATTTTTTTCTCTCAAAAACTACATAGCCTAGTCAAAACCGTAAAAAAATGAATAAATACGCAGTTGGCGGGCATTTTATTCTTATGAAAAAACGAACATGAAAATAGATTTGTAAATTTGCTAACAGTAAGGCAGAGGGAATTAATTGTTAGAACATATGGATAATAAAATATGCATGTCATTGTTCTTTTTTTTTTTTGTGACGCAAAGGTTAGTCAAAATTTAAAAATTTTTTCCAATCAATATGCAATGGATATCGAAGAAGAGATAGAGAGAAGAGTTTAAATTTAATTTGTAATCATACAATATTCGCAATTATCCTGGCAGTCGAGTCTTTGTTAGGGGAACAGACCCGAGCATATATCTGGCCAAGGACTATCAACCGGCAAAGGGTAATAAAAATTCAAGATTTTGCTCCAATAACTTTAAAATGAGTGATTTCAAAGGATACATCCTATTCAAATTGGGTAAAGATCACATACATAATTGTGTTTAAGGGTATATTAATGTGTAATGAATGAGAGAGTTGTAGGTAATGATTTAAAGAAATAACGCGAAAAGAAAATTCGTCCCACTGTAGACATGAAGTTGTTGGTCTTTGTATTCTATGAACGTTGGTTACTTTGCATTCCATGAAAATGTTTCAAAATCATCAAAATATAAAAAGTCAGGAGAAAAACAAAAAAGGAAGTCATTATCATTATGGATTTATAAATGTTTTTGCTAAAAGGACGCACGTTTCGATGTAACACAGCATCATATGTATTATTAAATCATGATTGTAACCCGTATTTTATTATTGTTATTGCAATATTTCTCTCTGTTTCTTCATTTGTTTAGGAAACATAAAACACTCCATTTTAAGAAACTCAAACGTCCAAGCTGTTTAKCTGTCGTTCATTCTACAAAATGGTTAATACGAGTATAAAACAAAGCGATTGTTCATGTCATTTTATATCTTATCACTTTTAGTATTTTTTTAAGACTTTTACGAGCACATACAGTTTCTATAAATTAATATATACGACAATGTTGCCGTGATGTAACTTTATGGTTCCGTCCCTCTAATGGTAACAAGCACGAACCTTTTTCGCTAGTTGTTTCCTCGTTAGTTTGCTGCTTTTAACAATACGGCCTGTGAGATACTCCGTCTGTTTTTATATATCCGATTTCGTTCCTTTTCCGGTATCTTCCCTTCTTTGACTTTTGATGGAATAAATTCACTCACGACTTCATGTAATATATTATTAATAGTAGTTCATTAAACACAATAACATCCGGTGTTTTAGGTATTTATGTTGCAGTTTTCCGAGTTGTTTCATTTCGCTGTTTAATATGGGGAACCATAAAAAAAACGATTTTCTAATAGCTAAGTAAGCTATAAATATCATTTTATTTTTGTCTGTGTTGCTTCAATGTGAAGTTCTTCATGGTTGCAATTATACGAGTACATAAAAGCTCCTTCTATTTTTTTTTTTTTAATTTTATGATATTCAGGGGTATTGTGGAATCTGACAATTGTCGGAATCAGAATTGAAACCGATAAAAATTCAGATATTATTGGGTTGATATTCGAAACAGAATTTGTACCGGTTTTGGGTGTCCCGGAAACCAATTTTATCGCTTTTGCTATCAGAAACAAAGCGAGAAGATAGTCGCTCACTGATTTGAAATGTAAGTTAAGAAATCAAGTTATTTTATAATTTCGAATTAATTTATCTAGATTATATATAGGGGAAAACATAAGTATAAAACACTAAATGTCTCATCTATTGAGTTTTTGGAAATAAAATTCGGATATATAAATATATTAGATTTACAAAACGTAATTTAAACGTAAATGTTATCTCTTAAATATTTCTTTAAAACAGAACTCCCCAAAAACTTTCATAGGATTGCTTCCAAATGTATTCATTCGCAAGTTTTGTCACATTAAAACAGCAGAATCGAATATTGATTTTGCGTATGTTCGAAAAGACGAAAAACCAAACAGATACTGTGACACCATTGAAAATCAGAATTGGTTTGCAATTCTGACAGCTAAGCAATTCTGTCTTGGATTCTACAACACCCCTAATTATTTTTTTAGGGACCATAAAATGTAATTGAGGGATTTAAATGTAATTGTTTTCATAAAAATCTTCGAACATATTGGACATTGATATCAAAGAATTTTTAACACAGAGAATATATATGTATACTCTGAACAAGTATATTCAATTCGCCATGAAGTTTGTAAGACTCAAAAGGAAACGTCAGAGACGGTATAAAACATATATAGTATGTATCTATATCAGCGTTCAAGTTGAGCCGATTTAGTAATTTTTGTCTGTCTGTGGGACAGACACCGTCGCAAACTACATTGATTCTTCGTGAGTCTTTCACTAAATTTTCAACCAATATCGTGCCGCAAAAACTGATTTCATCTGATTTATCTCCGTGTGGTGTCTGGCTATTCAGCAACCTCAAACAATCGCTCCGGGAAACCATTTTGAGTCAATTGAAGGCATTAAACGAGAATCACCGCGTGAATGGAAGGTTATTCAGGAAATTGATTTTAACAACTGTTTCGCGGATTGGAAAAAAACATTTGCACAATTGTATTGGGTCTAAAGAGATTGCTTCCAGATTAGATTTTAAAGAATAAATTAAGAATTTTAAAATGATGACATTTTTTGTTCATAGTAGTTTGTTCATAGTAGTATACTACGTTCTCCATTTACTATGTTCTCCATTTCTTCAAAATATACAATAAAAKCATGTAAAAACCATAGAAAAAATGTCACTTTAGTGTTGGTAATTACATAACAGAAACTCATTGTCACACCTCACACAAACTTCACATCAATGTTAAAGGATCAACCTTGAAAATATTATTCGAATAAAAATAAATATTACATCGTACGTTGTATATGTGCTTGATGTTCGCACAAACATAGACATTYTAGTATGTGTTCATGTGCAATAGTATTGTGTAGTCACGAGTAGTGGACATTAAATTATTTGACGAGTTATTTAAAATCGCTTAAAACGTTCAATGCCATGGATCGCACGGTTCATGAGAAATCATAAATAAGTATTACATACATATATACATACACGCATAAAAAACAACCAAGCGTAAATATTAAATAATTAAAACTTGCATATGTATGACGAGTTCTTTCTCTCAATGCATTAAGTGCGTGACTAGTAACTGGTGCCTCTGTGGGTTAAGTCCCACACTTTCAAAATTTATAGAAAATCACACAAATCAAAGGCTCTACAACTCTTCAGCCGCATTCATTCGAAAGGTTTTCTCTTACCAGAAGATTTGTCATTACAAATCAACGGATGGGATTTGTAATGACAAATCTTCTGGTAAGAGAAAACCTTTCGAATGAATGCGGCTGAAGAGTTGTAGAGCCTTTGATTTGTACAATAACTTCAACGACACAGCCTTCAAATATGGGTAGAAGCGCGGCCAAACATTTATCTGGGGCGGGGGTRATATTCATACTAATATTTATCTCTATTGTACACATGTACATGCAGTGGCGGATAAAAGTCTATATACACTCACGGGTTTTGTCTTTCTGAAAGTACCAAAACTTTTTAGAAAAATGTGTTCATACAGTTTTATTCTAGCCTTCATTGAAATCATTTTAAACTAAAAATTTTTAATTTAAAAATTGCGTTAACAAAAGTCTGCATGCAATACAAAACTCGTATTATATACATTGTGTGCGGATTTTTATAGCGTAATGTTGCTTTTTTTTTATCGTATTTACTATTTGATTATTATATCATATAATTCATTTGTAGTTTGAACACTTATGTATGTACATATGTACATACAACGAGTCTCGGAAAATATAGAAAAGAAAAAATTAAAAGTTGATGTTTAAAACATTTCATAGAAAAGTAGAGCGACAGTACAGACCATTGTAAAAACTTAAATAATAGTGGTTGTTATGAAGTCAAGCCGCGCAGTGGTCTTTCGAGAAAGCTATCTCATGGAAACGTCAGCTTGAATCTCATTGAAGTGGGCAAATAGTAAAAAGTCACTGCTCCAATATTAGCCGAACACATATCAAAYAGATAACAAAAGAGTAACCATTTATAAATA